GCACATGAAGACGACAACTTACACCATAAGTCGAATACATGAAATGTCAATGCGAATAGATCGAATGTACCACGAAGTTCTACACAGACATTCATTGAAAATAAAAAAGAGAATAAACACAAAAACATTGGTGAGTGTATAACATTGAAAATTTCGCATTGAGAAAAGTACATTAATAATAACAATATGCTTTATTCCAAAACAGTACATGTGATACAAAATGGAATTCTCAGCATTTTTACTACAGTATTGCATCCAGTTAGTACATTATCAATAAATAGAATTCTACATAGATTAAGGAAATCTCAGTTCATTATTACAACAACACATTGGCATGTCGGTAGCAAAGGTAAAGATGAGCAGTGTTTGAAGGTGTTAGAAAAGTGGGAGCTGTCATATTTACTGGCGTAAGCGAGTGAAAGAAACAAAGCAGCACATAACGGAAAAAAGAAAAAAAGAGAGAGAAAAGGAAAAGAAAGAAAGAAAACGTTGTACCTATAAATGATATGAGTTGGAAAGACGAGATCCAGTTGTACTACTGACTATTTAATGAATTACAGATGTCACGCCTAATGCTTTCTTTATCACACAGAACACGAGCTAAGTAGGGTATGGTTGAGTTTTTGTACTTGCTGGTGCGAGTATATAGTTTTCTATATAGGCTTCTGGTTTTACCTGATGAGATGCAAGGGGAGAGTTGTGGGTGAAGAGGGTGGTGTGAGTTAGATAAAATGGATTTGGCCCATTTTCCACATGAGTCCATGTGCCTGTCGACCAGAATATTAACAAGCTGGTTAAGTGGCACGTTGCTTACCCTGCTGACAACCTTTAACATCCTGCGTAATATGTTATAGTCTTTCTTCAGTAGCCCGGGAAAAACTAAGAGGGAACAATAGAGAATAATAGGCAGAATGAGGGAATTAACGAATTGTAGGAGTAAGGGTTGGGTTATATCAGAATGTTTTAACTTCTTGATGTAGAAGGTAAGACGGAATATTTTCTTAGAAATCGCTAAGATATGAGACGACCAGGAGAGATCAGCAGATAGAATGACGCCTAGGTATTTAATTTCCGATTTGGTTTCTATTTCAGTGCCATCTATGTTGCATACCTCGTGAGAGCCAACCAGTTTGTTTAGGTCGGATTTATGCCTAAAGGTGAAATTGACTGTTTGGCATTTGGAGGGGTTTAGGGTAAGACCGTTTTCCTTGAACCACTGGCTGATTTCTGACAGAAAGCCATTAAGTTTAGAGCAGTCGCTTTGACATTTGACAGGCAAAGATACAGTCAGGTCGTCAGCATATTTGACAAAATTAATGTCATTCGAAGATGGTAAGTCATGTAGAAAGAAAGAAAAGAGAAGTGGGGAGAGTACAGCACCTTGGGGGAATCCGGCTTCAGTGATTACAGCAGAGGATGATTTACCTTTGTATATGGTGTACTGCTTTCTGTTAGAGAAGTAGGAATGCAGCCAGTTAGTGACCCAGGACTCAGTTTTTGTGAAAGGGAGCTTATTTAGCAGGAGACATCTAGGTACAGAGTCGAAAGCAGAAGTGAAGTCGAGAAACGTGCAGCGAACATATTTGGCACCTTTAGCTAACGATGAGACAATACTGTTGTGTAAGACGGCTGCAGCGTCTAAAGTGCTCCTACCCTGTCTATAGGCAAATTGTTTGGGGTCTTCAAAGTTTTTAAGGAAGGGTTCAAGTTTAAGAAGTACTAGTTTTTCCATGAACTTTAGAAACGGGGAAGTGACGGCAGTGTGTCTGAACTTAACGTTCTTGCCGTTTCCAGGTTTAGGGATAGAGACAATTTTAATGTCTTTCCATGCATCAGGTACGACATTTTTGGAGAAAGAAGCATTTAGGATGTTGGTTAGTGGAGAACACAAAGTATCTGCACATTGTTTTAGAACATATGCAGGTATACCATCAGGGCCAAGGCTACGTGAGGGCTTGAGCGTTTTAAGACATTTTAGAACATCGAGAGTATTAAAGTCATGAAAGTTTTCAGCTACATGATAGGTAATATTAGAAGTAGTTAAAGTAGAAGGACAGCGTATAAAAGACTGATTAAGAGCATTAACATCATAAGAGGGAAAAGCATTACAACGCTTACTATTGCCAGTAATTTCATTAAAAAATAGGCATAATAAAGAAGAAGAGGAGGTTAAAGCATGAGGCTATATTACTATAGTCATGTGTATATATACTACTGGTTGACCGGAACATAGTTGGAAAGTAGTTGCGAACCAATCCAAACACTTGACGGCTGTTACACTCAGTTAGCGGCAATCCCATATCCATCAGTTGTGTCTATCCGGTTTCATTCAGGTTAGAGGGATCGAACCGTCCGAATACTGGCTGCTGGCTGGCTAGCTACTGATTTCGATGAATTCGTCATTTACAAACTACATACACACACACAGTTAAAAAGGGAGGAATCACCACAGCTCCTTAGCCGTGTATAATAATGAGTTCGACTCAAGTCACAGACAGCTAGATATCAGTTCAAGCTGGTGGAATTCAACCTGCCCCGCTCATGCAATAGGCTTAACTACTGTCATGCTCCACTGTTATTCATCGTATTGAGCAGATGATATATTGTGGTCCTAATTAATATTTCTCTCCTTTTCAAAGGAAACCTCGAATTCTATTACTCAATGAATAAGACAAAAAATATGATCCCTAAAGGGACATAATCAAAGACCTTCGTTGGTGATAATGATGTCCCGCACGTGAAACCTCTTTGAAGCCTTTCACTTGAAAAATGGGTAAGAGGGAACTAACTGACCAGTATCACCGATGACTAGCCTGACTGCTAGACAGACTCTGAAGGCAAGCAAAGCAATGAAAATAATAATGATAACCGTAATAAAACACGAAGAAAAGAAACTTACTACTCCAATCTAATAAGTAGAAATATCTTGACAGACTATTGACGACCCTTCCGTTTTCATGATCAATTAAAAATGTTGGTATGGGATAAGTTAGTACACCAGCCTTCATCAATCGGCCAAGTAAGAAGTATAAACGCCGCCAGCATCTTATCTGTCCCGTTGCCGATATGATTCTCAGAAACTATAAAGAAGATACATTTATATTACACAATTTATAGTGCAGGAATCAATAGTAGTAATAATAATAATAACAGAGTGAATGCATAATTATTAACTAACTCATATGATAATCAAATACCTCAGTTCTAGTTAAACTGATGATTTACCCACTGGAAAGTTACTCACAACACACACACACACATACATACCTATATTACGACTTTCTACACTTACTTACACACTCACTGTCATGCGTTTGACAGAAAGCATAAGAGGTTCTATGTGATGTGTCTATTTTCTGTAACCACTTGCAATCCTTCACTCGGTTACCTTAGATTATTCGTTATTTCTCACACATTATTATTATTATTTATTATGCCCTTTGACTTATTCTGTTACTAATCACTATCAACCGGAGAAATTAGAGGGAAGTCACTTATCTGGGAACCATCGTTTCCAGACGGCACGGCTGAAGGTGTATAAAAGTCAGACAGGATCGTTAAAGTAAAGACAAACATTCATTATTCTCGACTCAGACTGGAAATGTGCTGCACTAAGCTGAAAGAATAGGATTCCGGTGTTCAATACCAATGCCAGGTTAGTGTTTCTTCATTGGTCAGAGAATTGCAGTGCGCGCGTCACGAAAAGGATTACCAACAGCCAGCTGCAGACTTTTATCCAACATGAGAAACGGTTGTGCTGGGGATGCTGCTGAGAGGTTGGATGAAGCTAACGTAAGACAGTGCGTAGCGGTCAGGTGATAAAGAGGTCGTGAATGTATTGGTGGGACAATTGGTGGCAGAGTGCAACAGTCCGACAGACAAGTAGTAAGTAATTCAGCAGTTCCGTGCTATGAAGCTGGGACCGGCGAGAGACCCATTCATGTTGACGGTGAAGCTGAAGGGCTCACTGCGTCACACACTCGACCTATGGCCTGTCGTGTGATGTCATTTGATGGTCTTCTCAATGTGTGACCGATCCATCTCCATTTTCTCCTACATAATTGTTGAACAATAGACTCTTTGTCGGTTTCTTCTCAGCCAGAGTTTCTTGTTGCAAATTCTTTTTGGCCAGCCAGCCGCCCATTTGATCTTCAGTATGGAGCTAGCCAAACAGTGAAGCGGGCAGCTGATGATGAAAGTCTGCAATTGACTGTTGGAAATCCTTTCCGTAAAACACTGGCCTGGTTTCTGACTCGTATAGAACTGATTGACTGACCGAATGTCAATGGAAATGCTGCATTACAGCATGGTATGCATAGTGTTACTTCACAACCACGAACTATAAATAATAACTCATACATTCGAGTTGACAGTTCATTAGTAGAAATATTCAACCACCACCTCAACCATCAATACATTCAATTTAAGAGTTAAACTGGGGGCAATGTGTTGTAGAACAGAATTAATTCTACATTAGATCATTTTATCTGATACAACATACACACACACAGTAATGAAAGAGTGTTAATACAAGGATGACTATATCCAAGCACAATTTATTACTGCTCATAATCACATCAAATGTATTTCGTCACACAACTTAATAACTTGTTTTACATAGTCTTGTTGTCTTCTTCCTGTTTTGTTTATTGTAATAGGGTGGACAAATAGACAGCTTAACAAACACATTTATGAGCATCTTCTTTCATGGTTCGAAATAGGTCAAATAAAATCTATAAGAAGTTCTATTTCGGTTCACTTGATTGATAGCGGTCACCAAGTGGACAGAAATAGTGCCTTCAAAGTTATCTATCGCATTCCATCGAACCTTTCGAACGCAATTCGAACCTGCCTTTTACACAGCTGAAGCTGTGGGAATCCGAGAGACCAATCCAAGTCTGCATACAAAAGAAGTTTGTTTTACCGTCGTCTCTCCTTTGGCCTAGATGAATTCTAATCAAAGCACCCCCAACCCTTTTTATTTCTCATTTCCTTCATACTTTTATAATATTTATTTAAACTCTGATCATCTATCCACTTCACCTGCCTTTAGTATTACGTAACTTTTAAGATTTGACCTAAGTATTTGCTTATTGAATTGTCTGCCTTTGTTATTCTTATCGCCACCTGCCACCATCAGATTCGACAAAGTTTCTCCATGAGTTGTTGTCAGCTGGTCAGTGATTCGTTGTAAGTACAGACATTAATAAGAATCCTACGTAGGGCATCTAATGTTCTTAGTTTATATGGAAGGGATGGAGGGGGGAGGGTACATATTATTCGTGAAATTATATCATACCATTCAGCATGGGAGAGTAGAACGAAAAGGCTTATGATAAAGATTAATCTGGCAGCATCACCTCTACTGACAATCAAAATCCATTAAACATCCGATATCGAATTACGCAGTTGAATAATGATGAGAAAAATGGTAAAAGGGAAAATTAACTAACCGATAGAACAGAAATCAACAGGTGACTCGGTGTGACATTTAACTGACACCATATCTGATTGGACTTTATCGCCTTTTTGAGAATTGACTTCAACACTTCCCTGCATAATTGATTAGAATAACTGGCTATCTGAAAGATCAAATGAATCACACGTGGTGATACGAAGTTATCTGTAGGCAATAGTGATTCAGTGTTACTGGCAGTTTCATTTTTATCTTCTGTTGTCGTTGTTGATGGCGATGTATCATCCAAAGAAATAGCTTTGAAATGTATACCAGTGCTACAAAAAAAAGAAGAAAACTGTTAAGATGATCAAGCTTCTCTGTTATCCGTGAAGTCATGATTTCTACAATGTACAGACAAGATCACCTATGTCTGATTAAGTAGCTGTTTCCACTTGTGTATGAATGTGTATCCTACCTTAACGGAAAATGACAAGGCATTTAGTAACGGATTGTTTTTTAGCAATTTGACAGACAACATAGGCTTGTGGATATCCTTGTGCTTGTATACGCTGTCACTAGTCACTAGTTCATTGAAGGCACAAAAGTCAGCGAAAAGTTCTCCGTTTTCATTCAACTCTCTGAGAGCTTCTCTACCTATGATGAGTTCTCTTCCTGTGTTGTCTGGTCCCAGTTTGACTTTCAAGTCTCCCATTAGGATGTTAACGTCACCGACTGGAGTATTATCCATTGTTGTCTGGTAGTTGTCTGTAGAACTCTTCTTTCTTTTCGAGGTCTGCGTTATTTGTGGGTGCACAGCACTGTGTAATTGTCACTTTCCTTCCTTTTGAGTTGAATCTGAAGGTCATTATCCTGGGCGAGATCGCCTCCCATTCTATGAGGGGCTCCGTTGGCGTTGGTGACATAATGATAGCCATACCCTCGGTGGGCTCGTGGTTGTCTTCTGGGTGACCGGAGTAGATCACTGATCCTCCCGTTGACAATTTGGTGAGTCCACTCCCATTCCATCTGCTTTTACATATTCCCAGTACTTCATTACCATATCTTTTCATCCCATTTGCAATCTAGGCAGCTTTGAACAGTCTCGGACATAGTGCAGACGTTCCACGTCCCCACACACACCGTTTCTTTCGTCGCACGGAGACTCATTCGTACTGAGGTTTCTGTAGCAGTTTTGTTTACATAGTGGGGTTGCTAGCCTCACGCCTGGGAAGTGGGTTGTTACATACATATGTTATTTACCGGTAGCGAATTTTTGGGTAGGTCCCTTTACAATCAGGAAAACAAGAAATAAGGGAATCAGAACAGCAAAAGCAAAAAAAATCACAGCAGGAAAGACAGCGACAACAACAACAACAAAAACCTTAGCAGTAATAACACTGTCACATGCAGTTAACAAAAATAATATCAAAACTATAGACTCGCTGACATGGGTCAACTTGGGCATGTAAATCCAATAATATATACAATTATAGATATTAGTGTTAAACAGTCACAAAATGCCAAACAGTTAGTTATAGGTATTAATAGACAACAAGATTATATCCACAGGTTCAGTGTTCGAAGATAACCGGATTACAATCAGTTCCACAACTTCCTGACCAGAAACACCAGAGAAATGAGTTTTGTATAACTAATCATGGGAAACAATAGTCTCTATATTATAAAATATTTTTTTACTGAATCACTAGTGCCAATACATTGTAAGCCTCATTATACAACCAGTAGACATCAGTTGTAGGCTGGAATATTTGATCCTTGTGTGAAGATCCTATACAACGTTGAAACCACACACACACAACTTCGAAATACAGGCGAATATTTGTAGCTGCTGTGGATGTCCTTCGTGTTACTGCGTCCTTTGAGTTAGGATGGCCCAATTATTAAAAATATGTAACGCTTCAGGATTTTGTGACAATTAGTCTTGGAATGGTGCGTCAGTGTGGTGTAGTGGTAGACTGGTGCTCACCGACCATACGCATGAACTGGGTTCGAGCCCTGTCCGACGCACTCCTAAATATCACCTAGTTTTACAGCCGGTAATAAACCCGGAAAGTGAAACTACCGCTTCAGGACTTCAAGCTCAATGTTCCACTAAGATGGAAAGAAAAACAATCCGAAAACAACTCTCTCGAAATATTAGTTCCTCGCACACCTACACGACTTCTTCCCTCCATACTAAGTTAAAATAAAGACGGACACAACAACAATCAGCAGCATCTATCAGTTCCGTGGTATAGCATGAAATGCAGAAAGAAAAACAATAACAACAACATACTGACCAAAGTGGACATTCTCTCTGCATCACTGTATCCATGATCACAAACACTAACAGTCAAATGACACAATATACGTTTGTTCAAATCAATTCACATTACCAACTATAAACATCAATCCATTCAACGGGGGAAACGTAACAGAAGAAACACAAAGAACCCCAGAGTATTCCTAGACGCCCATTGTCATCTGAATTGATAACAACCAGTGGTGTCCGTCAAGGATGTCCACTTTCCCCTTTTCTGTTTAACTTCATCATAGATATGCTAATGGAAGTATCCTTAAATGAACTTAACGACTTAGGAATCGACGTGTTACCAGGGAATAGTCTTATAGACTTAGAATATGCAGACGACATAGTCCTGTTAGGGGAGGATGCTGACAAAATGCAGAGTCTTCTGAACACCTTGAGCAGCAATCTTCCTATGTTTGGCATGCAACTGGCCTCTGTAAAATGTAAGATGCTGCTACAGGACTGGACTACGTCAACTCCTAGCTTAGTGATAGGGAGTGAAGTGATAGAACATGTTGACCACTTCACCTATTTGGGAAGTTGTATCAGCATCAACGGATTGATTGATGACGAAATCTCAGCACGGATCCAAAAAGCTCGGGCTGCTTTCGCTAACTTACACCGTTTCTGGCTTAGGCGTGACATCCGGCTATCAACCAAGCGACGTGTGTACTGCTCAGCAGTTCGCTCCTTCCTTCTCTATGGCTCTGAAACATGGCCAATACGAGTTGAAAACATGAAAAGGTTGTCTGTTTTTGATCACAGATGTCTACGATCTCTTTCTCACGTTAGGTGGTATAATACGGTAAGTAATGTTGACGTTAGGCGTAGAGTGTTAGGCAAAGAGGGAAAATCACTCGAAGAGGCTATAAAGTTACGTAGACTGAGATGGCTAGGTCACGTGCTGCGCATTCCTAACCATCGCCTCCCCCGACGGATGGGCATTACTAGCTGATATAGGTGCAGGTTGGAAAAGAGTAAGTGGTGGCCAAACAAAAACATGGCCTCATCAATCCATGAAATCCCTGACAGTTAAACTGAGTCAGGTCGGAAGGGAGATGCAGACTTCCGGGTTGGGGCCCGCCCTCGGGACTCTAAGAATCAATGGCTGGAGACAATAGGTGACATGGCTCAAAATCGTTGTCAACGGCTTATGCAGATGTATTCAGTCTCTGTAATCTTTCATATTCCTTTCTACCATCACTCATTCTGTTTCACTCTTATACTTGTCAAAACTCTATTGATTCTCTTCACTCATTTTCCTGTCTACCTTTGTGTGCTCTTTGGAACGTGGCAACTCGAACTGCTGCACTTCGGTGCCAAGTTCTATGTTGAATCCAGCCAGCCAGCCAGCCAGCCTAGACGCCCAGTAATTGTATCGATTTGGAATTTTATCAATAACCACCAATACGCATTATGCCAGTCATATGAGCAAAAGGTCAAATATCATCACGTCAAACAAGAGAATGAATACCGACCAATGCAAGTGGATAAAATCGCAAACGAATCTACCCGAACAACCAATTACATCTAAGATGATCCCCAGTCAGAAGAGACAAATGTTTCACGTAGGAAAAATATAATTCCTGAAGATCACTTTACATTAAAGTTAGCTTCGAATTTCTGTTGGCTAAAAGAACAATCAGAGTGTCATCCAGCTCACTCAGAGAATGCAACAACAGTAAACAGTAAAACCAATCATCAAGACTACAGATCATCACTGTACACAACTTTGTCGACAAGTGTGAATGTGTGTAAGTGTCAGCAAAGATTATAACCAAGATATAAAGCAAAACGAAAAAGATCTACAGTGGATATATATACCCTTAACCATGTCGAAATCTTTTATCCTATGATACAAACATCAGGATTCGATTCACTGGTCACCCACGCACTACTCCTAAACCGCGCGCTCAGAGAGTTAACTAACCCCATAGTAAGCCCAGAAGAAAGGAAGGCTAGGCTTGAGACTAGATCATCGTGCCATTACAGCTACTGAGACTTTGACTAAAGCAAACAAAGAAACAAGTAGTATAGCGGGAAAAAATGAGGCCGAAAAAGCTTACCTTCGATAAAAGGCATCAATATCCATCAACCGTGTCAATGTATTCAATTTCTGACTAGACAATTCAATAGATAAGCTAAACAGTTCATCCTTTAAGATATTGATCCTTTTCAAACAACAACACTTATGCTGTTTTAATTTCAACGTGGTCATTGAGGCAAATATTGAACTGTTGAATAAGTACGACCACTTTTGTTTACACCAATGACGTGTTGTACTTTTCGAATTGAGGATATCATTTTTAAATGTCTGCAGTAGATGTAGCGTATCATCGATATGGCGGGTGATTTGATCTTCTCTGCCTCTACCTTCTGTTTGACGATTACACGGACAAGAGGATAGGCATAGTTGTAAACAGTGAGCAATCAATTCCAACAACATGACATCTACTTCACTTGTGATCAGGTATTGAAAATATTTTTCATAATCATCAACGTTATCATTATCATCAGGTAGGGGAATGAATACAGACGAAGGACAAGTTGACTGACTGTCATTATTATTGTTAGTGGTAGTAGTTGTTGTAGCAGCCGCAACAGCAGCAACAGGAGTGTTGGTCGTCGTCGCAGTAGTAGTAGTAGTAGTAGTAGTAGTAATAGTAAATTCATTATTAAATTGATTCAGGAATAGAATATTAAATAATTGCATAAATTGTTTCAATAATTCATTTATATTAATTTTGTTTATCAATAAAAGTTCATGACCAGATGATGCTACTTTTATTAATCGATACAGCATATCTATAAATCCACGAATATGCATACTTTGAAGTGTAGGAGAATTATTCACCGCCTTATTGTTAGTCAGTTGAGTTGATGGTGTTGTTGTTGGTGGTGCTGTTGTTGTTGAATGTCCCATATTGGTATGTTTATAAATTAGTGATTGTAAATTCTCTTTTAAATAACTTAGAAGTACTTGTAAAATTGTGTTAATTTGAATGATACAATCCGGCTGTATAGGAAGAAATAAGAGAAAAGCAGAGAAAATACAACACATTACTTTTTGGCAAGTAGGGCAGAACAAAGTAGTACTCTTTTTGTTAAATTACCTTAATCATTTCAACTACCATATATATAGTGGCCTCAACTTTATAGACTTTGAAAAGGCCTTCGACAGCGTAGACCACGAAGTAATTTGGAAACTACTCGAGTACTACGGCGTACCCCAAATATTCATCAACCTTATTCAACAACTGTACGACAACGGTACATGTCAAGTGATCCACAACGGAAAACTCAGCGAGGCGTTTGGAGTAAACACAGGAGTCAGACAAGGGTGCTTATTATCACCAATGATATTCCTAATTGTGGTGGACTGGAATATGCGTCAGACAGTGGGAAACGAGAAGACAGGGATATCCTGGACCGACGTGAAGAATCTAGAAGACCTGGATTTCGCGGATGATTTGTGTTTGATGTCACACAAAATCGAAGACTTACAAGCTAGAACCGACAAACTGGTGGAAGAAGCAGCAAAGACAGGACTCCAGGTGAACATAGAAAAGACGGAGGTCATGAAAATAACCAACCAACCAACCAACAACAACAGCAGCAACATCCAGCGCCAATCACCATCAACACATTCACTGTACTTAGAACACAAGATATAGATAGGTTTTTCGAACACATCAACTCGAAGGTTGAAGCAATTCAATTCAGTTATTTATTGGAAAATCAAGAAGGGGAGCTCCCAATGTTAGATTGCAACGTAAAGAGGAATGAAGATGGGAAGTTAAACACTAGTGTTTACAGGAAACCCACACACTCAAACAGATATTTGGACTTCCAATCATCCCATCCTATGTCAGTAAAAATAGGATTGGTGAAATGTTTAAATGACAGAGCACAAAAATTAAGTAGTACCAAAGAAAATCTAAACCAAGAACTGATACATATAAAAGAAGCCTTGAAACTTAATAATTACCCAGATAAATTAGTCAGGAAATATGTAAGGAAATGTAAAAATAAAATAAATAATGATAATAGCGATAGTGATAATAACAATAATAATGATAATAGGGACAATAATAATAATATTGATGACGACACCAACAATAAAGAATCTAAATCATCAGTAGTAATTCCATACAAGGAAGGAAACTCGGAAACCTTACGCAGAATTCTTAACAAGGCAGGAATAAGAGTGGCTGGCATTCAAACCCACAAACTCAATTAGAAACAAGCTTTGTCGGTTTAAGGATCAATCCTGTGCAGCCTTTAAAACAAAACAATTTAGTTTATCTAATACCCTACTGGAATGATTGTGTGTCAGGTCAAATACATAGGTCAAACTAGTAGAACAGGGTCAGTCAGACTAGCTGAACATAAAAACTTAGCAAAATCTAGATTGGTTGACCCGAATAAGATAAGAAATCTAGAGAATAGTTCAGATATAGCACTACATGCAGTCACACACAACCATACAATAGGATGGGATAGGATGACAGTTTTAAAATCTAATGTCACAGGGTATAGGGAGAGATTGATAACAGAAGCTTTGTTTATCGAATCAACTGCAAATACATGTAATAGGAATGATTCATCACCTGTCCCCGATATCTGGAAAATTCTACTACCCCTTCGATGACAAATAGGAGAAAACAAAAAAAGCTATAAAACTCAAGTGTCAAAGTCGTGTGATCACAATTGATATGATTATGAACAATAAATTTTGTTTGAAACCTTGTCATCCAGTAAATAATACTGTTTCACTGTGTGATATACCTAATAAATAAACTAATATGGAATCAACGGGAGGAATTTGAAAGAGGTTACTTCACTCACTTATCTAGGGAGCATTGTCTCAACTACAGGAGGAACGGATGAGGATGTCAAATCGAGAATCGGGAAGGCGAGAAACACATTCATCAACCTGAAACCAATCTGGAAATCTTCGTCACTCAGCCTGCATCAACAACAAAATTCGGATTTTCAATACAAACGTCAAGTCAATTCTTCTATACGTATGGATCAGAAACTTGGCGGGTCACAAACAATATTTCCAACAGCCTGTTGCAGACCTTTATCAACAACTGTCTTCGTTCTATACTCAAGATCAGATGACCGGAAAGAACAAGAACCAACAAGAAACTATGGGAACAAACAAAACAAGAACCAATCGCTGGACAAATATGCAGGAGAAAGTGGAGATGGATTGGACACTCGCTGAGGAGGCCGCTGGGTAACATCGCGCATCAGGCCCTTGAGTGGAACTCGAAAAGGAAGCGGTGAGTGGGACGTCCAAGGGTGACATGGAGGAGACCGTGTGAAGAGGAGTTGAAACAGTATGGATTAACATGGGTGCAGGTGAAAAGTACAGCAGAAGACAGAAGTAAGTGGAGGCGTGCAGTTGAAGCCCTATGTTCCACTAGGAACCCAAGGGAACAATTATATACATATATATATATATATATATATATAGAGAGAGAGAGAGAGAGAGAGAGAGAGAGAGAGGCACTTATTGTGACGACAGAAGACAATGGCCAGGTAATAGATCGTTTATTGAGAAAATCAACAGATATTTATAGATTTTGATGCACTTCATTATTCGTTATTGTTAGCAGAGAGGTAACGTCTTCTGATTGGCTGTTTTCCTACTGAAGGTTATTCTATCATCTCTTGATGCCGTTTCTTAGACAGTCCGTTGATATATCTGCTAATCATATCCGCCCACGCTAAGTCTGCTGTGATTGGTTGTTTGGTGAGTCTTTGTTCTTGTTTTTTTTCTCATGACGAAGATATGGGACGTAAATATTGACGTAAATTGCTGTCTGCCAATTTTCGCTAGCAGACAGCTCCCACCACAGTATGACAGTGACGAAGCCAATCAAATTTAGATGCCAAAAGCAAGATAGGCAGGCATTCATTACACTCTGAAATCAGTGTGTATGTATGAAAATCCACAGCACTTAACTAAAGGAACGACATCAGAATTTTAATACTAATATCATTTCAGTCAGTTCTAAGTTTCATAGTTCAGAGAGATTTGGTGAATGCATCCCTAAGAGCATTTTCAACAAGCTACTGAAGACTTTGATGAAACAACACCTGCAACAAGAAACTCTGGCAGCGTACCAGACAAATACAACCTGTTGCCAACCAATATATGTATATACATACATTTCCCACTGGAAGATGAGGGAGATAAATTTGACTCCTTAACATACAGCATGTCACGTATCATTCAAAGAAGTTTCCATTGACAACAGATGCAGCGCGTCGCAGAGGCATACTATTTGCATAACTTTGGCATAAGTGGACTGGTTTTTTTATTTTCCTGTCTATCTCTTTAAGCGATTCCATATTCACATCAATTGTTGTAACAACTATTCATTATATGATCAAAACTCGGCAGTAAACAGACGGACAACATCTGCATAATGGCGTATTACCTTTCCTGGTGGATATTCACATGTGAAATCAAATTCCTCTTAAACGACTGCTACCTGTTCTCCACACGTTAAAGAGACATTTATTGAAGTAACTGAAGGGTACGATGACCTTTGCATACTACAATGAAGAGTTAAATAAGACAGTGAGGTGCAGTGCAGAGGTCCAACCAGGAAGAACATTTCCCTTCTGCCGGTGGAGTAGCAGGCTTGGCATTTGTCTAGTTTCTTGCTAGCATACACGTGAATGTTAGAGGATGCTTGTAGCATCACAGCCCCTATTGTATTCCCACTGGAATCGGTGCGGAGTTGAATCCAGGAGTCACGTGAACATATGAGGGCTTTCTTCAGTGCGTCACCAGTGCGTCTCACTGAGGAAATTGACAGACAGAAAAATGTTTTGTTAGATATATTCACCGCAACCTTTCACTACTGAATCTTTTTTGATTTCCCAGCATCTCTTTGTGAAGAGCTGGCACTTACTCATTTGTTCCCGATTCTTTAATTATACCTGTCAGTGAATTTAACAGTTCGTCAAAGTCATCTAAAAAGCCGAAACACTCAGCCTCGCTCTTCGATACGGCTAAAATCTCATGCCATGAACGACATATCTGTGTGATCTTATTTTCACGTGCCAATGATACTTTTATCGTAGAAGTTGACGTCGATGTTCTTTGTGATTACCACTGGGATTAGCATCTGTTAGCTACAATATCAGATGCGAAATGTTCAAAGTGTAATGGGTCATATTACCTAACGATCAGGTCAGTAGTAATGGAGACAGAAAGACTGTGAGACACAACAATTGAAAGAGGAAGACCTAAAGACTTTCTATATATGACGGTAAGCTTTTCAATTCTACCCGTCGTGTTAAGTGCTATACAACAGTGAGTAATATTGAGATTAGGCGTAAACTGCTAGGTAAAAAGGGAAAGTCGACCAATGTGGTTGTGAAACTGCATCGACTGAAACGGTTAGAGAGATGTTAGCTGACAAAGGATCGGGTTGACAAAGTGTCAGACGGGATCTAAGGAAACAGTGCAATAAGTCCATGAAGAGTCTGACCCTTAGTTTCAGTCAGTCACGCAGGGAAGTGTATAGACTGTTTGGCTAGCTCGTTAGTGTCCTCAGGACGATGAGAATCAATGACTCGAGATTCGTGTTGATATGACTCAAAAACATTCTCATTGGCTCGCGTGTATTCACTCATTATACTCTCCCAGATCCATCCCATTTTCATTCTTCTCTATATACATATTTTATCTGCCGTACGTTTTTGATTCTCATAATTTCTTACCACCTAATC